CCCCCACCCCCGGACGCGAGCGGAGCACGGGGGCCCAGCCAAGCGTCCTCGGGCCTCAGTCTTGACTTCCCGCGTTGTCTTTCTCGAAGGTGAGAGAAAATGGCCCGAACCAAGCAGACTGCTCGTAAATCCACTGGTGGGAAGGCCCCCCGCAAGCAGCTGGCCACCAAGGCTGCCAGGAAAAGCGCGCCCTCTACCGGCGGGGTGAAGAAGCCCCATCGCTACAGGTAGGCACGGCTGCGGGGAACAATGGCCTGGCGGCGGGCCGCCTGTGTCCCTGCGCCTGCCCCTCCCGGGGGCACTTTTTTTGTTTCTTTTTTCTTTTCCTTTTTTTTTTTTATTTTAAACGCCGCTCTCTGCTCTTTCCAGGCCTGGCACTGTGGCTCTTCGAGAGATTCGTCGTTATCAGAAATCCACTGAGCTTCTCATCCGAAAGCTGCCTTTCCAGAGGTTGGTGAGAGAGATTGCCCAGGATTTTAAAACGGACCTGAGGTTTCAGAGTGCGGCCATCGGTGCGCTTCAGGTAAACAGGAACAAAGGGGTTTTGGAGCCCCAGGGCCAGGGCTGGTTTGGTTTCTCATGGACCAGAGTTAATGGTGTGGCTCTTGTCCTCCACAGGAGGCTAGTGAAGCGTACCTGGTGGGTTTGTTTGAAGATACCAATCTGTGTGCCATCCACGCCAAGAGAGTCACCATCATGCCCAAAGACATCCAATTGGCTCGCCGGATACGGGGAGAGAGAGCTTAAGTGAAGGCAGTTTTTATGGCGTTTTGTAGTAAATTCTGTAAAATACTTTGGTTTAATTTGTGACTTTTTTTGTAAGAAATTGTTTATAATATGTTGCATTTGTACTTAAGTCATTCCATCTTTCACTCAGGATGAATGGGAAAGTGACTGTTCACAGATCTCAGTGGTGCGCACTGGGCTCAGGAGTGACAAGTTGCTAATATGCAGAAGGGATGGGTGATACTTCTTGCTTCTCATGATGCATGTTTCTGTATGTTAATGACTTGTTGGGTAGCTATTAAGGTACTAGAATTGATAAATGTGTACAGGGTCCTTTTGCAATAAAACTGGTTATGACTTGATCCAAGTGTTTAACAATTGGGGCTGTTAAGTCTGACCATACATCACTGTGATAGAATGTGGGCTTTTTCAAGGGTGAAGATACAAGTCTTAACCACAGTGTAACTTACAGTTTCCTTAAGAAAAAAAAGTAAACCTGGCAGCTATAGAATACACGATGTGCATTTATAATAGCTATTTTATATATTGTAGTGTCAACATTTTTAAATTAAATGTTTTACATCCACAAGTGGTGGGGAGTCTTGTCATTAAGGTGTGTATAATTTAGAGTCCAGTTGGTTTTCTCCTAACTAGACTGCACTTGTTTTCATAGTTTAATGCTGTATGCATATTAATACCTTGCATAAGTCCTCATTCTACCACATGTTAGTTAACTAACCCTCTAGCTGGTAATGCAAACACTAACGGAGATTTTATTTATAAGGGCTCTAGAATAAAAGTTATTCGCACCAGCATCATCTGTTACTAATCTAAGCTAGTTAGTGCAGCTTTTCATTGTGTTGTGGTTGATTTCAAAGCTAGGCTTGAGGATTTTTTTTTCTCCTTTAGAGGAAATAATACCAAGGTTTGTTCTTTTCCTTGTGGAGTTTAGTGTAAACCTGAATGGGGGAGGAGCGTTGCAGATGCAGCTGATTAGCCCGGTGCTGATTCGAGGTGGTGTTTGGTTAGGTTACTTCTGGTGACTGTCCTAGGAAAATCCCTTTTCTAGAGATGGCCTTTCAAGTTCATCCTTCTATTGAAGTTTTTAGGTCAATTATGTATGTTGACTAAATTTACAAATAAACTTGTTTATCCAACTAAGTGTCAAAAAACTAAATTGACTGTATAAAGCTTTTAATGCACCCATTGCCCTAGGTTCATACATCCTGGTGTTTGAGCTTTTTTGCTTGGTAGATGAACCATTTATACGCAGAGATAATTTTAGCATGTTGAACAGCCCTTTGCTCATAAATGCCATGATAGGGGCTGAGATGTATCTCTGTGGTGTGAGCACTTAACTAGCATGAAGCCCTTGGGTTTGGTACCCCAGTGCTACACAAAAGCCATGATGCTGCTGTATTTGTAGTCTGTGTGGCATGCTCCCTGCCCTCGCCCCTCTAGTGTTAAGAACAAAAAGTAGCTAAATTTTATTATAAGAAAAAGACTTGTCAGGGCCAGTTTCAAATGTGTTTGTGGATCCTTGAGGTAGGCTAGGGTTCTGTGTGCAAATTAACCTAGGCTGGCAGGGAGTTTGTGGTCTCCAAGCTACTTTCAGTACAAAACCAGTTGTAAGCAAGGAGAACACAAGCTTACTACATGGGCCATGATGCATGGTAGCGTATGTCAGCATTTGGGGCAGTGAAATTGGGGAGGGGGGTTTCTTGTCCATAGCTGGAGCCACACAAGTGTATGTGAATAACAGTCAAGACAAAAGGACAGCCGCTGCTGTTTTAAAAACACTTGGCAGCATGGTGTTTTTGCTGGCCAATTGGAAATAAGAGTCACTTGAGCTATTCTGCCTGGGCTGGCTTCAAACTAGGTTTTAGTGTTCTGACTAGTTGGGATTAAAGGGAAGAGCCAGTGGCACCTAGCTTAAGGCATTTATTTAAATGAGATTTGGTCAGTTTCAAATTCAAAAGTGATTAAGATAGGCTGGATAGAAGAGTAGGTTTAAAAGTTGAATCCAATACAACGAACACTTGCGACAGTTTCCTCATGCGTCTGAGTGACACTGAAATCCTAGATGTTGGAATGGGCTGTGCTCTGGAGAGGCAGTGTGAACAGATGAGGACCATGGGAATGTTCTGATTTAACTGGTAACCCAAGTGGGTGACACCATTGATCCTTAGCCCCAGTCTATAGCCTGAAGTTAGAAGGCTCTAGGGTAGCTTGGAAGCTACTACATAAAAGAATAGTGTAACTTTGGCTCTTCCACACTCCCATGAGGTCACTTAACCCAGAACACAAATATTTTTTTGGTTCTAGGAGACTGCCCCTCCAGGATATCCCTGAGTAAGGGCAATGGACTGGAATCTGTAAGGAAGAAAGCAAAAGTTGGAGCTGTTGAAGGTATCCTGTGCCCATGATGGATGAGATAAAAATAAAGTTTTGGAATGCAGATTTTTTCATCTTGTTAATGGTTTTCATTCAAATGAGTTGTCTCACAAATTTGAAGCATTTGGAGAGCCCGGCCTGAGTCAGGAGGTTGGATGGAGGAAGCACATTGATTAGTTAGGTGGGGTAGATGACTGTTCTTACATGGCACTTGTCACTGAGGACACTGCTAGTTTATTTCCATGGGATTGTTGTATAAATAGTGCCTGTGTTTATGTCTAACTGCCTGGTTTGGCAAATTATATGGTTATACAACTTACTGCATGTCCATGTGCAATGGGAATCCACTGTTGTTTTTTTTTTGGTGGGTGGGAGAGTCCTGGGGCTTGAACTTGGCCTGGGGAGCTGTCCTTGAACTTGTTCTGTCCAAGGCTAGTGCTCTACCACTTGAGCCACAGTGCTACTTCAACGTTTTTTTTCCTAGTTCATTAGAGTCTCAGGGACTTTCCTACCTATGGTGGCCGGCTTTGCACCATGATCCTCAGATCTTAGTCTCTTGATTGGATTACAAGCGTTAGCCACCAACGCTCAACCCAGAATTTTTTTTTCCCCTGTAGTCCTGTGGCTTGAACTCAGGGTCTGGGCACTGCACAGCACTGTCTCAAGCTTTTTTGCTCAAGGTTAGTACTCTACCACTTGAGCCACAGCTCTACTTTGCAGTGGTTAGTTGGAGATAAGGAGGAGCTTCATGGACTTGTTGCCCAGGCTGGCTTCACAACAAAATCCTCAGATTTCAGCCTGTAGGATTACAGGCATGAACCGCTGGTGCCCAGCACCAATTGTGTGTGTGTGTGTTGGAGGGGCTTGAATTTGGCCTAGGTACTGTCCTTGGGCTGCTTTTATGCTCAGAGTTAGTACTTGAGCCACAGTGCCACTTCTGGCTCTTTCTGTCCAGGCTTGGCTTCAAACCCTAGTCCTCAGAGATCTCAGCCTCTTGAGTAGCTATGATTACAGGCATGAGCCACCAACACCCAGCTTCATTAGGACCTCTTGATAACTTTCAGCCTCCCTGGCTCCTGGCTCACAGTGTATGGCTTAGGAGCCATGAGTTAGAGAAAGAGGCCAGCAAACAAACACCCTGTGGCTGGGCACCGGTGCTACCTATAAGCTACTCAGAATGCTAAGATCTGGAGAATCAGAAGTTGAAGTCAGTCTAGACAGATAAGTCCACCAAAACTCTACCTCCAAAGTAACCAGAAAAGGCCAGGTTAGGGGCATGGCTCAAGTAGTAGTGCATCAGTCAAGCACAAAGCCCTAAGTTCAAATCCTGGTACCTGTTAGGAAAAAAATTACCCTCTTGACCTTAGCCTTATGTCCCTCAGTCCTTCCTCTTCCCAACCAGGGACCCCACAGCCACGTAGCCCCCAAAGCCTCAGGGTACAGGGAAAACAACTTTATATTGGTAGACTGAAAATGCACATCCACTTATTCTCATCCATGTACTGAATCATTCCCCAACAAGGAAAGTTGGAAGGGGCCGTGCCTGCCCAGCCCATCCAGCAGCTCGCTAGCTCCCGCAAGCGTTGCCTTCTGCCTGGCATCCCAGCTGGGTCGGTGAGCAGCTCACAAGCCAGTCTTTTCTTCTGCACTACAGTCAGAGCTGGAGCTGTGGAGGGAGGAACTAGCAACACAGTTGCCTGCTTTTGGACCAGCAAGAAACCCAGACGCTGATCCTTAAGTTTCTGCAAGATCCCAGGGGGGCTGGTTGTACCCCTTTTTCTGAAGGTATTGCCTTCCTGGGGGAGTTATGGTCCCCTGGGCCTGAGAACTGTGGACTGTTAATTGGATATTCTGTAGGAGAGAGAGAGAGTGCCCAACTTGCGGCTTTTTCTATTTATGTGGTACTGAGGAACCCAGGGGCAAGCACTATACCACTATACCACATTCCCGGCCCTAGGGTGGGAGCATTTCACAGTCACCTCACCCATCCACTTTCCTGGAGTGTGGGAGTCACTCGGCAACACCTCGCCTAGACAGTTGGCCTCTTCGTCCTGCCTTCCCCATTGTGGGCACCAGTCAAGGAGCTGCGCTCATCTCCAGGACGTCAGCTTGGATCACCACCCAGCTGGCTTGTCTGGCCAGCATTTTCAGCTGGTTATGGGCAAGAATACGTGAAGAGAGAGCCAGACTGTGTTCCTGTTGCCACCCAAATCTCACAGCTCCTCCAGAGAAAAGAGTTGAGCCTGGTGGCCGCTAGCTATCTAGTGTGTTTTGATGCTGGTCCTGGGGCTTGAACTCTGGGCCTGAGCACTGTCCCTGAGCTTTTTTTTGCTCAAGGCTAGTGCTCTGCTACTTGAGCCACAGTGCCACCTCTGACTTTTTTTTGTGGTTAATTGGATGTAGGAGTCTCACAGACTTTGGTGCTTTGGCTGGCTTCAAACCACAGTCTCAGATCTCAGCCTTCTGAGTAGCTACTATTACATGGGTGAGCCATCAGTGTCCAGCTTCTTCTGGCATTCTTACTCCATCAGCAGGTGTAAGACCAAAGGAGATGCAGCTGGAATGGCTTTGAGTTTATATACTGAGGGGCTGTGTTGTAAGGAGGAGAGGCCAGAAGAGACTCTTGCTCTCTGCGGTGCTGCAGATGGCTCAGCAGCCAGTGGAAGGAATTATTCAGATACCACTGCTCAAAAAAGAAAAAAGAAAGCCGGGCACCAGTGGCTCACATCTGTCATCCTAGTTACTCAGGAGGCTGAGATCGGAGGATCACACTTGAAAGCCAGCCCAGGCAGGAAAGTTCATGGGACTCTTATCTCCAATGAACCACCAGAAAACCGGAAGTGGCGCTGTGGCTCAAGTGATAGAGCACTTGCCTTGAGCTGAAGAGCTGAGGGATAGTGTCCAGGCCCAGAGTTCAAGCACTACAACCAACCAAAAATAAAACAAAAAAAATCATTTTTTTTCCTGTTACTAAGGTTTATACTCAGGTCTCTTGTTCTCACTTAGCTTTCTTGCTCATGGTTGGCACTCTACCACTTGAGCTTCAGCTTGGCCTTTTGCTAGTTAATGGGGGATGGAATTTCTTGGACTTTTCTGCCTACGCTAGCTTTGAACTGTGATCCCTTAGGTCTCAAGCCTCCTGAGTAGCTAGGATTACAGCTGTGAGCCACTGGGCCCCCCTGGAGCAGTACCTCTTAGCTGTCTGCTTTGTACAAAGCTCCAACCCCCAGTGCTGTTACTTTTTCCTATGAAGGAAGCTAAAAGGCTCTGCAGCTACTAGCTATTGGGAAACAAGGACAGACCATGGCTCCTGGAGGGACTAGAAGGCCACATGATCTAGAAAGGGGTTCAGTGGAGAGAATGGGAGATTAGGTCCTGGAAGCTACTAGCTCTCAAGCAGGACACTGAAGGTCTAGGAATACATACAGTGGGAATGGAGGGTGAGCATAAGAGAAATGTCCATCTCAGACATCACCAGGATCAATGACGACAGGGCCTTGGGAAACAGGCACCTGTGGCTCATGCCTATAATCTTTTTTCTTTCTTTCTTTCTCTTTTTGCTATTCCTGGGGCTTGAACTCAGAGCCTGAGCACTGTCCCTGAGCTTCTTTTGCTCAAGGCTAGTACCCTACCACTTGAGCCACAGCACCACTACTGGCCTTTTCTATGTATGTGGTATTGAGGAATTGAACCCAGGGCTTCATGCATGCCAGGCAAGCACTCTGCCACTAAGCCATATTCCCAGCCCCTCATGCCTATAATC